AAGAATAATCTTCTAAAATATGCCAATTTACTCACACGTCGTTATTTCCGCACAACCTGTATAGTTATTTTTTACATTTACTAATTATCGGTAATTCAAAATGTAAAAAACTTATCAGTCGTTGTCTCGATTCTATTTTATGCTTTCAAGTAGAGCTTGGAAATCGCTTTTTAAATCTAATAGATTTATTGCCGAGTTAGTGCAAGACAACTTCTTACAAAAATCGTTTTAAATTAAAACCTGTAAGCAATTATGAGTAAAACTATATTTCGCTGTTTTGGAAATGTGTAAAAATGTAAACTTTTATCTATACACCAAGCGTACCGGTACCGAACTGATCGAAAACACCACCATTAAAATTATTGTCGTTAAATGGTCGGTGCCGGTTCGTCAAATTTGATCTGTGACCAATTTCTACTCAGAAATAATGTCATTCTTTATATTTAGGATATATTACCATATAAAACGAATTGAACACACGTCTTCTTATAAAATAATAAGGTATTTTACACTAAGAATAGGAGAATTGAGATACTTACATTAATAATAGTTGCAATAAGTCTGTACTGTTCACGTATAAGTTCTGGGCTGGATATTCCAAAGTCTTTTTCTGCAAATATCTTCGGGGCAACGAGTCGTCCTCTTAACATTAAAGTCACATCCGGTCTAACTTAACATTAGTGGCCGGTACAGACGACAAAATCATGTATTATTTTTTATTTCTATTCAAACTGCCTTATTACTGTTAAATAAACACACGATTAAAATTACATTGAGGTATTTAATTTATTTGCTTAGGGAAAGAAATTCTGCAGACTAGAGGTGTTATAAACGATTATTTTTCTGTAACGGGTTACAACGTTCCAGTTTAACTCTGGTAATAGGTTTCAAAATGCGGTTTCAAAAGGAACCGCATTTACTTTTTAAATTTTTCATTAAAATGCAGAATGATGATAGTAGAAGTAGTGATGATATATAATGATTTCTTTTATTAAAAACATAATTCTTAACATTGGAAAACTAAAAATAAAATATTCTAAAATCAAAAACAAAACATGGGTCAGAAGTAACTACTTAAAGAACAAAAAACTGATAATAAACTAGAGTGATTAAATAAAATATACGGTTTAGATGCAAAAATGTTTAAAAATCTCATTTTCATTTAAAAATGAATTAACATTTAAGAATAAAATTTTTTGCAGATGCTTTTTGCTAAGTCTAGTTCTTCGCGCGTTTAGAAAATAATTTCTGGTATTTCGTTTCACGATAACATTAAATAATCCACAATAACAAAAACAGAAATCCGTGTTTGGCAAACCTGGACGAAGTATTACTCGAGTTAATTTTGGTACCACCCAAAAATTTTTTTTAAAAATATGTCGACCTTACAACGTTTATTACTATTGAAATAACTTTAATTTCATCTCTGACTGAATTTATACAGTGTGTCGCACTTAAGATGGAAACACCCCTGTATTTTAGTTATTTTTAGAAGCAAGGTGTTCAGATTCGGTACAGAGGTAGAATGTTATGAGCTTAATTGATTAGGGTACCCATTTCTACCTTCAGATAAAAACCCAGCCTACTACGACTTTGCGAATAGGGGCAATTCGCTATATTTTGCGATGCGTTAGAGATATCGGAAAAAATTACTAGAAAAAGTTGTTCAGAATGTTATTTTAACGGTAAATACCGAGTTTCAAGTCAAAAGTCAAATTTTGGCATTTTTTAAATTTTTACGCAGTCCAAATTTCAAATTTTTGTATCAGTATTCACTAGAAAGCCATRGAAATAAATAAGCCGCGTCTAATAATTGTYAATTGGACATTAATTGCATCAGTGCGCTGACAAAATGCCTAYTGAACWTCTCAGTTTAAGRGAGAAAATAAAAATAGTTAGATTATTTGGTAATGGAATTCGAAGTAGCAGACAAGTTGCTGAAGAATTCAATATGAGGCATCCACAGAGAAATTCTATTAGACATAAAACTGCAGCAGGGGTGAATTTGCGTTTCACTCAAACTGGAACAGTCCGCTTCACGCTCAACTTCGGTATCGAACACATATTGATGATTCCATCATAGCTTCAGTTCGTGCCAATCCTCAAATGAGTTTACGTCTGAGGGCTGTTGAATTAAATGTAAGCAAAGACAAAATTAGAAGATGCCTGGTTCGTCATAAAATAAAACCTTTCAAACCAAAATTGAGCAAGTTGCACACGTTGAGAGAAGGTGATGATTTGAAACGCTTGCTATTGCTCTCTATTGCTTGTGGGCCCAAGAAAATTTTTTTGATGATAGAACTTTTTTAAGAAAAGTTATGTTTACGGATACGTTCACTACCAATGGTATAGTGTCTTCTCAAAACTGCAGATACTGGTCTACAGAAAATACTCATTGCCAATAATTCATAAGCCAATATTCACAAAAAGTTAAAGCTTGGTGCGGAAGTTTAGATGATTTTTCATCAGATAACAGAGTAACCTCTGTGATCTGTGGTTGCTGTCAATTTAACCTCAAAATCTGCACTGACGAACAACAACAAATGTTGTAAGATTGTTTGTATAATTTGATAATTAAGCCATTAAACAATGGCTGCAGTGTTGAAGAAGCGCGCCTTGGCCGAATACAGCCAGACCGTCACTCAGGTAGGCCCCGAATGCAAATTACTGCTGCAGTCATTTTAACCCTCTTCATTTAGGACGCGGCTCATTTGCCCACCAAACGTCTGAAATTGGTAAAGAAGCCCCTGCCTGGAGCTCCCAGCTCCCTTATAACAGTCGTCAACGCTTTAGATGAGTGCAAGACCAGTGACGAGTTTTTGCTGCTTTTACTCAGCATTTCTGACTCAATGCAAGTGGGATCTGCAGGAGTAATTGAGGTTCTAAAGAAACTAGTGTAAGTTAACCGAGTGTTTGAGATAATGCGTTCTATAGTTCCACTTTCCTTCTCTTAGTGAACATTTCAAGAATGAGGCAGAGTCAGCAGTGAGGGTGAAAATTTTAATGCTATTGACTGACATAGGGCTACAAAATGTATCTGAATGTGTCATCCTTGCTGAGGAAATAATAAACTTGATTAAGAATGATACTTCCCATAAAGTGCTGGCGCAGGGAATGAATGCCATTCTGAAGCTGGGCATGCTGGTGCCTGAGAGTGCGACCAGCTATCACCAAAAACTAGTTGATGTTGCCAAGAACTACTTAAAGGTAGTAAAATTCTCCTTGAAAAACGTTCAATGGTCAACTAGATTTGTTGCAGGACTCCCACCATGCAGTAAAGTGCAAGTGCTTGGAAATAATAGGCACACACGTGCCTTTATGTTCTGGTAATGATTCGGACAAGCTCTTCCATCTTATCAGCTCCTACTTCAACAATCAGGACGCCAGATTGAGAAGTCAGGCTTTCAGCACAGTGATCTTGCTCTACGAGAGGGGTTTTAAAGTGAACCCCAACATTTATGTGTTTGTGTCTGATGCCCTCAAAGACGACTATGAAATTGTGCGCAGTGTTGCTTTGAAGCTGATTTGGATCTTAGGCAATGCGTACCCAGATAAGTAAGTACCTATTCACACTCCGATATTTAAAAATATATTAATACTTTAAAGTTCAGGTTAACAAATGTCGTTTCTATCATTACTTATTTATTTATACACATTTTGTCTTCTCTGATCGACTGTTTCTGAAACATAGTTTTTGATAAAATCATGTAAAAGCTTCGAATCATAATCCTCCGATGGGATAATTGTTACTTTCTGCTTTGGATTTGATGGTGCAGAAATCTATTGTTCAGCATTGGCAGTTAAATGGTCAAACTAACATTTACCTTCAATGATTTCAGCGAAATTTTGGTGCCAGGAAGTGTGCATGAGATCCGCCTGATTGACGACGCTTTTGGAAAAATCTGCAATGGCGTCACCGACTTGTCCATGCAGGTCCGAACTCTTGCATGCGAGTTGCTTGGTACTATGAAGCAGATCAGCCCCAAATTCCTCACTCAAACGTTGGACAAAAAGCTCATGTCTAATATGAGACGCAAGGTATGAGGTTGAACAGTTTTTTTTAGTTTAGGTGCTTATCAATTCATCAAATACACAAAATAAAAAAACTCGCTTGTTTTCCATGTTTTAAAGATTCTACATGAGTAGAAAACCTGAGTTTTCCACTCACTCACGGTTTTTGATCAAAATTGGGTGAAAAAGTTTGAATTCGTGAAAGCACTTGAAAAGCCAATTTATTTACGGATCTTCATAATTTTACAGAAATGCTTTCCATTTATCAAGAGATTATTTGATTCTATTTTACAGCGTATTTTCTCGTAAGTGGACACCCATTTTTGATGATTTTTTTGAAATTCTGACAGTAAAATAAAAAAAAGCTGTAAAAGTTAAAATTTTACATAAACTCGAATTTTTAAATTACAACACCCTATGTACCTTCAGACGGATCGATGCGATTTGAGAAATGTATACAGGTGACAGGTATTTAAGAAATGCTGTAAACGGACATTGTTGCATAATTTTCGATCTAGTTTTTCGCAAATATCTCAATTTTTGATAAGAATTATATGAAGAAACTCTTTTTTCTGTACTCCCTGAACCCCCGAGAAGAATGTTGCCAATTTTTTATTAATTTAATTAAATTTTATTGGTGTTTCAAATTCAAATCAAAGTAGCCTTGAAATACGACAATCAAAAGTCGCAGAAAAATGACAATATTTATTGCTACTAGAGACTAAAAAATTAAATAACAACAATGAGATAAAAATCATTGATTCTCTAGACGATCTCTCTAATCAATTTCAATTTTGTCTAAAACATTTTGAATGTATTGGTTATTATCCATATTAATATTGAACTGCATTCACTATTCTCATGCGTAAATCATTAACATTTGCTATTGGATTTTCATACACAATATGCTTTAAATAAGTCCAGAGAAAAGAATCAAGGGGCGTTAAGTTGGGGCTATTAGGGGATCAATTCAGATATACAAATTTTAATCTAAAAACGTTCCAACGGGTGAACGAGGTACGTAATTCTTCATCTATCTCTACAATATCATCAATAATTGTTTTTCTCCATTCTAAAAAGTGTTTCCAGATGGAACACGTCTCTGGGTGCTACAGCGCTTATATTCTTTTCTTGAGGCCCATGCAGTTGATCCGTTTTTCATTCACGATAAGAATGAGAAATATTTGCGTATAGTGTTTCGAGTACTTCGAATTTTAGTCGAGTAGGTATTTAGCACTGACATTTTTGATGGCGATTTCAACACGATTTCGATCTGATGCTATTTATAATTTTTAAAGCGCAATATATGTATAGAAAACGACTAAATAGCAATATATACAGGGTGATTCACACCCTTATGGACACAGAGCAGGGGCGTGTAGAGGACCTAAAAACAAGTCGAGTTTCCATTTAAGTGTTTCTTCTCAGGCCCATGGTTAACGAGATACAGGGTGTTAAAATTTCAAAAAAACTTCGGTATTTTCTCTTTAGCTTCTACAGTTTATGACCTTGGCTAAAAATAAATATGTTCAAAAGGGGTAGTTGAACCAGTCTTAGTCGGAAAGCACGGGAGATCACTTCTCCCACTGCCTCATTGCCTTTGATAATGTCCACCGCAGTTGAGGACGAAACGTCAGGAATAAATTCCCATGGACCTCGGCTTCAAGGCCCGGAAAATATTTCTAAATGTAATTTGACCGGCCGTGAAAGCCTTCATAGTCTGATAATATATAGGGTGTTCCATAAAAAATGCTTTATATCAACTTTTAACATTTACGGCTTTCAAGTTTCTATTTTAACTTTAGATTTAAAAAATGCAACTAATAGTGAACAAGTTTAGTATCCACCACTTGAACCTTTACAACTTGCTATTTTTCGAATTTGTTTGAATTGCAAGTTGTGCACTTGCACCTTGAAAACCCAATTTTTAGTCAACATCTACTCCAATAAACGCATTGCTTGATAATATTTTCTACAGAGGACAGCCCATGAGCTGGCATGGGAAAACGTGACCAGTGGCGAATGGGCGAGTGGAAAGAAATGGGCGGACGACGCCCCCAAAGAGCTGCTAAAAGCCGATAGCATCAGCTTGATGAGCAGTGGCGCTTGTGGTGCTTTTGTGCATGGACTGGAAGATGAATTTTTAGGCAAGACCTGCATTCAACTAAATAATTCCCCGTGTCTTATTTGCTACGATTTGTAGAAGTCCGATCAGCAGCAGTAAAGTCGCTGTGTCAGCTCTCGATCAGTAACCCCCATTTTGCCAATATGGCCCTCGACTTTATGGTCGATATGTTCAATGATGAGATCGAAGACGTGCGCTTAAAAGCCATAGACAGTTTGCGGGAGATTTCCGCGCACATTATTCTGCGAGATGATCAGCTGGAGACCATTCTGGGTGAGTAACAGGCCGCACTGCGTTGGAAAATCGGACAATTGCATTTGTTGTGCAGGAGCGCTGGAAGACTTTTCGCAGGAGGTGAGGGAAGGGCTGCACCGCATGTTGGCCACCTGCAAAATGTCCACGATGGGCGGCTTGAAGATGTGCGTGGAAAAGCTTCTGGATAATCTCAAGCGCTACCCGCAAGATAAACGATCAACATATAGGTGAGTACACACAAATGCCAACACTCCGTTTCATATATGCAAAAAAATGTTTTAATGTTAGTGTTTTCCTGTTTTTAATGTTAGTGCTGTTGAATTATCTGGTTTTTTCTTATCACATTTTTGTGTCGAGTGTCTATTTTGTATAAGTAGCAGACGACCGGTACACATTTAAAACCTATTTTGTAAGGTGCAAGGTGGATTGTAATACAGAATAATTCGCACACACTGTTTCCTGGCATCAGATCCAGTTTCGCCTTTAATTCATAAAAGTTTCAAAATTCAACTTCCAGCCACAGCTGCACATTGCACTAATTAGTTCACATTTGTCCCACATTAGCCCCATCTTTGTCCCGTCCAATACATCTTATGGACAGTGCAGAGCACCTAACAGCAAATTTTGCAACTTGAAGCCGCTGATGTCAGTGGAAGCCACTTGTTCCAAACGGGTTTTAAAAGTGCAGTATTTTTCAGTAGAAGATTTCCGGTTAGGTGCCCTGCACTGTCCATAAGATGTATTGAGCGAGACAAAGATGGGGCTGATGTGGGACAAATGTGAATTCGTTAGATTATTGTGAAGCAGTGGCTGCGAGTTGAGTTTTTCAACTTTCACGAATTAAGGATTGCTCTGGATTTGCTGCCAAAAATCAGTGTGCGCGAATTATTCTTGAGTTTTTTGTGGCTTTTAAGTCCAAATTTTTACCACATTTTTTTGTAAAATTTGCCAAATTTACAAAAAACCCATTAAAATCGGCAGCGGTTGTGGACTGTACGGAAAATGTATGTGGATATGGGATATTTTTGTGTCTCTAACGGCTATAAAGTCCAAATTTTTCCTTGATTTTATGGTTTAAAAATACGTCAAACTTCGAAAAAATATTCGCAGAATTCGACTCGAACTCAAAAAACTGCCAGTACCGCGTTTAGTGTTTATTTTACACAAAAAGTGAATACTACAATTTTCATGGCGATTAACCTCCCAGATCCACTGGAGTATTCAAAATTGCTCCAACGTTTTCGGTATTCAAAATACTTAATTTTTTCAAAAGCCCATTTTCAATTTTGTTTCAAAAACCGCTTAAGCTGGGCAATTGGAAACATTCCCACTGGTTGCCTTTTAACTGGCCAACAGAGTAAAAAATTTCTATCGAAGAGCGTCGTTTGGGAAAAAAAAATTAAAAATTCACCGAAAATCTCGACTCAATTTTTCCTCAAGTCTTTTCATATGGAATAATACATTAGAATCAAAGTTCGATTTTTCGAAAAAATCCAATAAACTGCGAGTAAAACGCTCAAATCGTCTTCAACTCAATTCAAATTCACATCGATTACTGTTTACACTTGCTTCCAAGCATTCCATAGAAATTTGTTCAGAATGTGCCGATTTTTTGAAAAAAATTGTACAGAATTCGACTCTAAAATCGAAAAAAGGCCAGTAGCTCGCTTAGTATTTATTTTACATGAAAGTTGCTGCAACGTTTTCGGTTTGGAATTTTTTTCATTTTATTAACCACTTGAAATTTTTTTCAAAAACCTCACATTGAGCATTTGTAAAAATTACCACTAGCAACCTTTTAACTTACCAAATTTTTCATAAGGAGGCACATTTTTCGACAAGTGGCTTCGTTTAGACGAAAAGAAAAAATTTTGAAATCCACCGAATACTCAACGGTTTACCCGATGGATTTTTCAGTGAAAAAACAAAATTGTTTCTTTTTTTTWAATTTTCCTTTAMGAGTGCTTCCACATGGACGTAATACATRACAAACTAAGTTTAGTTCTTTCGTAAAAAAAATCCCCAATAAACTAGAGGAGAAAACGAAAAAGTTKTACAGTCTTTTTTTCGTCGGAGTTTTTCGGTTCATTTGTCTGATCATCTGCCMTTATTGTTGGAGAGTTTCCTCTATAATTTTCTGATTAGATCCCAACCGCTGATTTTTAGTGGCATTTGGATTYTCCTTTTGTAAAATCATTCCATTGCARTAGCGGTGCGTGGTTTAACTCTTTGRGAGTGACCGAAGSTCAGAATTTTTYTGGACGRCAATCCTCAAAATATTACAAATTAAAGGATTTTATTGTAATTATTTTTACTATATTAATAGTTACTTGAATTGTATTAAATACAAGGTGSTTTAATAATGTAATAATTATTTTAAAATACCTCTTCAGGGAAGCTCAGAAAAACAATGGTTTGGGCAARTTTCAGCTTTCTTGCAATATTTTTGAAAGTAGTGGAAATTGCGCAACTTTGCACTGATTTAGCCGAGCTCAACTCTCTTACGGTTTACGAAATCCGTATGCTAACACCCTGTATTTCGGAAATGCACGAGGAAAGCAGCGCTTCTTAAAGCAGGTCGTGTTTGGGTGAAAAAAAATGTATTGATAATGCGCGCTTGAAGTTGTCTGGTTTCAAGTCGGTTTCTTGTATTAAAATGAATATTTTGGTGCTTGACGTTCGCAAATTTTAAATAATGTTCCTTTGTGTTTGATGTCCATAAAGAAACTGGCTATTTTCCTGTTCAAATAGGTTGTTTGTTTATTTGTCAAGACACAAGAAAAAACAGGCCAAAGCCAGGTGGGAAATGTTGTCGAGCTCCCAACTTAAAAAAATACTTCACTTTAAACATGTTGTTTTTTCGTGAATTCCTTAACTGATCTACATTGTCTTTTTTTGTTAGGTGTTTACAGAGTATAGGACGCAAGCATCCGGAGCTGGTGGTGCCGTTGGTGCCCCACTTTTTGAGTATCCACCCGTTTTGCGATATGGCTGAGCCAGATGTAGAAAATCCGCACTGTATCCTTTGATAACATTATCCACCAATAAAAATAGCGAAAATCGTGATAAACCTTAACTCTACCCCAAGACATTTGCCATTTGATTCTTATTCTCAATGCGGCTGAGAACTCTGGAACGATCATCTCCTTGCTGGAACCTCATACGTTACGCCACTACGCCTACCTGAGGGATACCATGCCTCAATTCGTGCCCGTTCTAAGCCTCTCAGAAACCACGGGTACGTCGATATCGAGGCAAATGTCTGTGGATGAGAGCTTGGCCTATTTGAACAACGTTATTTCGAATCTGGATGTGGCGGAAACGATGACCAGGTCAGTACACCCGTTTACAATCAGGCAAAGCACAGTAGCCAATGCTACTGTTGCAGTTCTTTTAAAGGTTAAATACCTTATACTGATATATGACCGGTAGCCTCCCTTAGCGAAACACCCAGTATAATAATAGTCTACGTGTTAAGCCTGGGTAACACAGTGGATTTTCAGGTGTTAACACACTAACCCCAATACACTCTTCGTTAAGAAAATTTTAGACTTGAAAAAACTGTTGCAGGACACATATGGCATTGCGTTTCTCGAGAAAAATTCTCAGAAACGAAAAATACTTTGCAAGTCCAAAGTTGTGGGTTCAGTAAAGAAGAGTACGCTCTAAATGTAGTGAAAATATCGAATTTTACTCATCATTAAGAAAATTTTGCTTAGGACTGGAAAAAGCTGTCGCGGGACACATTTTGCATCGCGTCTTTCGAAACTGAAATTCTCAGAAACGAAAAATACTTTACAAGTKCAGAGTTGTAGGTTCAGTCAAGAAGAGTRCGCTCTAARTGTCGTSAAAATTTCGAATWTYACGTTCATCRTTAAGAAAATTTTGCTTWGRACTGGAAAAARMTGTYGCGGGACAMATTTTGCATCGCGTTTTTCAAGACTAAATTTCTCAGAAACGCAAAATACYCTACAAGTTTARAGTTGCGCGGTCAGTAAAGGAGAATGCGCTCTAAATGTCRWCAAAATTTCCAATTTCACTCATCGTTAAGAAAATTTTGCATAAGACTTAAAAAAACTGTCGCGTTCTGCATCTAGTTTTTCGAAGCTTAATTTCTCAGAAATGAAAAATACTCTACAAGTTCAGACTTGTGGGTTCAGCAAAGAAAAATACTGCGGTCTAAACGTTGCCAAAATTTTGAATTTCACTCATCGTTAAGAGAATTTGGTTCGGACTTGAAAAAACAGTATCAGAACACATTTGGTATAACGTTTTTCGAAACTAAATTTCTCAGAAACGAAAAAATACTTTACAAGTTCAAAGTCATGGGTTCAGTAAAAAAGAGTGCGCTCTTAGTGTCGTCAAAGTCTCGAATTTCATTCATCGTTAAGAAATGTTTGCTTAGGACTTGAAAAAGCTGTCGCGGGACACATTTTGCAWYGCGTTTTTTTGAAAYTGAATTTCTCAGAAACGAAAAAGRCTTTACAAGTTCAGAGTTGTRGRTTCAGTCAAGAAGWGTGTGCTCTAAGTGTCGTCAAAAYTTCGAATTTCACTCATCTTTAAGAAAATTTWGCTTYGGACTTRAAAAAGCTATCGCGGGACACATTYTGCATCGCGCTWTTCGAAACTGAATTTCTCAGAATCGAAAAGTACTTTACAAGTTCAGAGTTGTGGGTTTAGTAAAGAARAGTACGCTCTAAATGTCGTGAAAATTTCGAATTTTACTCATCATTAAGAAAATTTTGYTTAGGACTGGAAAAAGCTGTCGCGGGACACATTTTGCATCGCGYTTTTCGAAACTGAATTTCTCAGAAACRAAAAATACTTTACAAGTTCAGAGTTGTGGGTTCAGTCAAGAAGAGTGCGCTCTAAGTGTCGTCAAAATTTCGAATATCACGTTCATCGTTAAGAAAACTTTGCTTTGGACTGGAAAAATTGTTGCGGGACACATTTGGCATCGCGTTTATCTAGAAAAAATTCTTAAAAATGAAAAATACTTCGCAAGTTTAGAGCTATGTGTTCAGTAAAGAAGAGTACGCTCTAAATGTCGTGAAAATTTCGAATTTAACTCATCGTTAAGAAATTTTAGTTTGGGCTTSAAAAAAACTGTTTTAGAAYAYATTTAGWATAGCGTTTTTCGAAACTAAATTTATCAGAAACGAAAAATACTTTACAAGTTCAGAATTGTGCGTTCAGTAAGGAAGAGTGCGCTCTAAATGTCGTAAACATTTCGAATTTCACTCATCGTAAAGAAAATTTTGCTTTGGACTTGAAAAAACTATTGCAGAACACATTTAGCATCCCGTTTTTCAAAACTGAATTTTGCAGAAACGAAAAGTACTATACAAGTTCAGAGTTGTGCGTTCAGTAAGGAAGAGTGCGCTCTAAATATCGTCAAAATTTCGAATTTCACTCATCATTAAGACAATTTTGCTTTCGACTTAAAAAAACTGTTGCAGAACACATTGAGCATCACGTTTTCTAAAACTAAATTTTGCAGAAACGAAGAGTACTCTACAAGTTCAGAGTTGTGCGTTCAGTAAGGAAGGGTGCGCTCTAAATGCCGTAAAAATTTTGAATTTCACACATCGTTAAGAAATTTTGCTTTGGACTTGAAAAAACTGTTGCAGAACACATTTTGTAACGCGTTTTTCGAAACTAAATTTCTCAGAAACAAAAAATACTCTACAAGTTCAGAGTCATGCGTTCTAAATGTCAAAATCTTTTCAAAAATTCACTCAAATGAATCCGCCCCAGCGTCCATTTTCTACCTATAAATGTTCAAAAAGTTCACTACCCTTTTTAAAACTATATTTCCTATCTAAAAACACGATTATCGACCGATTATCCACTGTCGGTAGCAAACTGAATATTCATCCACCTTTTCGATAAGAAAAATACACCGATATACGTGATAAACATGATTATTTAATCATTTGCATGTTCGATTTTTCGATGATTCATTGCTCTGCTCTTGCTTGGCAGTTCGATATTGTTGACGTTTTTGTTGAAAGTGCCTGTTCGCAGGGCAAAATTTCCAAGGACAAATTTCACGTTCCAACTTAACGAAAGTCAACAACAGAGAGTTTTTAGGCCCCTTAAAATTACGTTGGCCTTAAACGTTAAACGTTATCGTGATCATGCGCAGTGTTAAAAAAAAGAAGGTGTTTAGGCAAATAACGTTAAGTAAGTTTTTTTGTTTTTGATACCACGTGTGTTGCACTCTAAATAAAATAAACCTCACTTTATTGTTTGAAAAAGTTTGCAAGAAAAGCAAACCTAGTTTAAGTTTGCATTGTTATTAAACAAAATGTGGTTAAGATGGAAAAAAACATGGGCCCAAACAATTTTCACATAAAATCCGTAATTACGCAATAATGGCGTAAATTAATCAATGAAAAAGTCTTATTTAAATTTACAATAAATTTCTTACTCTATTATAACCGCTTATTTTATTAATAATATTAGAAATAAGTCAAATATGTCAACACCGTCGTGCTGCTTTTTAACGTAATGCTTATTAACGTTACCGCTACTCGTACGTAAATAAAGGAACACATTATCCTCTAATTACGTAAACGGTTATTTCTTGACTAATACGCATGCTCAGAATAACGGACAACGTAAAACGTGTTGCAATTAAGGGGCCTAAAAACTCCCTAACAACTAAACGAAAAACGCTCCAAGCGCCGGTCTTCCACAAATTTAATTTTACATTTAGAGCCGTTTATATTTGTCTGAATTTCACTCAGCTGCAGTGATTGATGCACAACAATGCAAACTAAAATTAAATTTTGTTTTCCTCAAAATATTGACTAAGCAAAAAAATCGCGAAGAAACACAAAAATAAAACTGTTGCTCAATTTCCGAGCGATGATAGAAACCAACGAAATGTTATTTAAAAGTTCAGAATTCAAGGATTATTCGCCGTAGTGAGGCGCGATGAGTGATAACTCACCAACTCACAGAGTGACATCAACTCAAAAGCCCAAGTCACACAGTGTTACCCAGGCCTACATGCTGGTTGCGTTGATTTAATGAATGGAATAAATGAAGTCGCAAAATAATTGCCTTTTGCAAAGCCTAGTTGCGTCACAAGCGAAAAGATGCGAATATTTGGATGATTTAACAGGTGTTAGAAGTCGATTAAATCACATAGTTTTTATTTGCGATCATTGCCGATGAAATATTTGTTATTACAACATGTAAATGTATGGACAAAAATAGTTCAAGTTTTTTGAGAAAAATTCACTAAATTTCGATTGGAGTTCTTTCTCTCTGTAGTAAGCAGAACTTTACTCTGATGAGCTTCTATGTTGGCGCACTCCATTCTAATAGTCTTTGTTCCTCCAGCATTCACATATCGCTGCTGGAAATGGCCAAAGAGCAACTGAACCGATTAAGTGAAATTGATGAATCTGTATCGGGCACCGCGCAGTTTACTGCACTGTATATCGGGGCTCAGCTGCAGATTTTACAAATTTTGGACCGGGGATTTTGGGTGGGTATTTTCGACGATTTTCCTAAATGCAGGAACACATCCAGCCATGCTATTTCAGGTAAATCCTGCCACGTTGGCCACCCAACAGCAAAACACGCTCAAGACCAATATTCAGATTCTCTTGGAATATTGCCTGAAGTTGCAGTTTTTTTTTGTTGGGTTGAACGCCGAAGAACAGTGCGCCGTCAAACAGTTCCGACTCAGAGCTTTGGCTCTGAATTTAGTCTATATTGTTAAAGGTGAGAAGAATTTCGAAATTCGCGAAAATCGCTCAATAGTAAAGGGATTTTAGGTAGTAATTCGTCCGCGTTGGCACCGTGCCATCACTTCCTCACTGCTGTAGAGGAAATGCAGAAGGATCTTTCGCAGAACAACATCCAACCAGATGGGTTCACATCGTTGGTATTTCGAGATTTGTCCCAGATCGAGGAACCAAAGCCGGGCGCAGTGTCGCGCATTTTAACGCCGATTTTGCTCAGCCCAAAAATTGCCAGCATTCCCCGTCCCAATATTAACGTAAGTTGTATATTTTTTTAAATTTAACATGAAGGTGTACTGTGTCAATCCTCTGCAAGTGTTTACAAGGGAGCACAGATAAAACGGAGATGTTTGCGAGATAGAAGGCATACATTTTGCGTCCATGTATTTGATTGGACCTGTTTTTCTCGATAGGGTTGCGTTAAACCTGTTGATTTATTAATGAATCATCAAAGGTCACCGCAGAAATGAAGGGAAAAATGGAAAAAATTGGTGATTCATTCGTCAGTCTAATCAGTTGAGAATAATTCAGTTCATAACAGTGTGCGATTAATGCGAAAAGTTAGCGCAAACCCGTTCCATAATTGTCTATGCCTGGTGTTGGTGCTTATTTTCTTATCAATAATACATGGTTTTCATAATTCCTTATGCGTCCGGGCATCGGAATTACTTTAGGAATCAGCCGTTAAATTGCGACCACTTTCACGCGTTGCTATAGCTGCACTTTCACTTTATGCTCTAAAACGAGTCAAATCGGCTAAATATTACATTTTTGTAGCTTAGAAGTCAACTAGCTCTTTCTATTGGTTATAAACCCCATATTTTCCTGTCGTGAACCAATTTGTTAAAATCATGATTATTGATATATGTGATATATATGAAATGACGAGCTGTAAATGCTCTACACAAAACAATCAATTTACTTACGATATACAACACGCCGTGGACCCTGCATGTTTCTTATGCCGAAGACTGGACCTATTTAGAGACGCCTCGAGCAAGGTAGATTTTATCCATGTTCGATATTGTGGTACATTTTACGATTTGGAAGGCATACATAAAAACAGGTAACCACAAATACGCTGTAAAACTTTGGTAACCCATCAAAAGGATTGACGCCAAGTTTTATMTGTGTGTAAATCGTCACTAGCAGAWGAAGAGAATTAGAAAATATGTCTAATTCTATAATCTTCAGGGAACGATAGATAGTTATCAAAATCGAAAAACAATGCCAGTTTGCATTATATACCATATTTGAGAAACACTTTTTTAAGGAAACGGGTGTTTAAGTTTAAACCTGCTTGTTCTCTTGGCTGGTAATCCTAATTGTGTAGATGACTGAAAAGAGTTATTGGGCG